CGTTTCCAGTCAATATTTGGAAAGTTAAAGTCCCCCATAACAACTACCCTGTTACTTTCGCTCCTATCCAGAATCATCTTTGCAATCTTTTCCTCTACATCTCTGGAACTTTTCGGAGGCCTATAGAAAACTCCCAACAGGGTGACCTCTCCTTTCCTGGTTCTAACCTCAGCCCATACTACCTCAGTAGACGAGTTCTCATCAAACGTCCTTTCTGTCACCGTAATACTGTCCTTGACTAACAATGCCACACCTCCCCCTCTTTTACCACCTTCCCTGATCTTACTGAAACATCTAAACCCCGGAACCTGCAACAACCATTCCTGTCCTTGCTCTATCCATGTCTCCGAAATGGCCACAACATCGAAGTCCCAGGTACCAACCCATGCTGCAAATTCACCCACCTTATTCCGGATGCTCCTGGCATTGAAGTAGACACACTTCAAACCACCTTCCTGCCTGCTGGTACACTCCTGCGATAGGGTTGAAACCTTATTTATCACCTCACTACTCTCAACCTCCTGTTTACACCACTCTCTGGGTGAAAAAGCTTTTCCCCACATCTCCGCTAAGCCTCCTGCCCCTTATCTTAAATCTTTGCCCCAAATCATTGATTTCGCCATCATGGGGAAAAGTTTCTTCCCGTCTACTTTATCAATGTCCCTCATAATTTTATATACCTCAACATTGTCCCCTCTCAATCTCCTCTGCTCAAAGGAAAACAATTCCAGATTCTCCAATCATAAGGCAGAGAGAAACATGTCTAAATTTGCCGAAAATACAAAGCTAATTGGAAACACAAGTTGTGAGAAGGACACAGAGAGACTGCAAAGACATATAGACAAGTCAATGAGTGGACAACAAGGTTACAGGTGGAGCATAACGTGAGAAGTGTGAGGTTACTTAGTTTCATTGTACAGGTGATTCCCAACCTTTTGGAAGTCACTTCTCTTAGCTCGGCCCTTACATTGATCTGCTGTCAGCCTCTGTGCAGCACTGGAGCAGCTTAGGTAACTGCTGAGCTTCAATGAGAAGTAAAAGGTGCAGCACCACCATCAGCAACGGCAGCAAAACCCAATAGCAGTTGCTTTCTCTCGAGCAATACGGACAGTGGAAATGGATACAGAGCACCTACTCAAAGGAGGGAATGCTGCCAGCACAGAACATACAGGCAGTGGGTTAAGCTCACTAAGAATTGGAAAGCAATAGTGTGTCAGGAAGCTCAGGCTTTCACAACAGGTCAATGCCGATATCTGCAAATTTCTGAAACAAGTTGTCCTTCTCAGTCACCCAGCTGGCCATGTATTCAAGTCACCACAGCCCTGAACTTGTTTGCTTCTGGCTTCTTCCAGGGGTCTCCTGATGACCCTTGCAGCATTTGGTGTCCACTGTCCACAAGTGTGTCTTGCAGGTAACCAATGCCATGTTTGTCAGGGGCTTGCATCTGCCGCTGATGAAGACAGTCAGAGTCAGAGGACTCTCACATCTTGTTGTGTTGGCTGGATTCTTGCAGAGACTGCACACAAGCAGCAATCAAGACACCATCAGTACACCAGCAGTTTTTATTTTGTTAACTGGAAGGGATTCCACTCTATCAATGTCAGCTGGTATGTGACCACTGGATGTTTTTTTATGCAGGTCTGTGCAAGATATCCTGGAAACTGCCACAATTCCTTCTGTGCCCTGAGACCACCAAACACAGAATTGATGACACTTTCTAGCACTAACTGAACATCCCGCCCCCTTGACCTGTCCGTCCTCCCTGGACTGACCTATCCCCTTCCTAACTCCCCACCTACACTCACCTTTACTGGCTCCATCCCCGCCTCTTCGACCTGTTTGTTTCCTCTCCACCTATCCTCTCCTCTATCCATCTTCTATCCGCCTCCCACTCTCTCCCTATTTATTTCAGAACCCCCTTCCCCTCCCCCTTTTCTGATGAAGGGTCTAGGCCCGAAACGTCAGCCTCTCTGCTCCTATGATGCTGCTTGGCCTGCTGTGTTCATCCAGCCCTGCACCTTGTTGTACCAAATACTACACTTTTGCTTTGGTGCTAGAGCATACGCTTTGGCATAGATTAGCACTGTTGGCTGGATTTTCCTTCAATGTCCCAGTCAAAGTCAAGCAAAATAATGAAGTAAAATGGGCAGCAAGGCTTACCTGCACACTTTTTCTTGTTTTTGTTTCTGTTTTTGTTACCTTCACATGCCTGAACAACTTTCATTCTTTCTCACCTTCCCTCACCAAGGCAGCCCTTTCCTGCTCATTAAATGTAACTGTCAGGAGAGAAGTTGAATAGGATAAACAGCCAGGTTTCTGAGCTTAATGCCACTGTCAACCCATCAGAAGAAAGGTGACAGAAACCTGTAGGATCAAGGAGTAAACACCCAGATAATGAATATTGGGAGAGAACCCTGCAGTTGATCTCTCTCCCACACAGACTCCTAACACGAATGTTTAAGACCTTAAAAAGTAAGTCTTCTACGCTTCTCCTCTGTGTTCTTCCACACACATGCCACATCCAATGCAGATACTACAACTGTGAGCCTGAGGCAGCAACAGCAGGCATCCTCTTAGTGACGAGGGTCCCGCAGGAGCCTAATTGACTCCAAGTAAGATATAACGAAAGAAAACAGGTCAGGGTTACAGCAGGATCAAGTGGTGAGTAGTTTCCATTCTATCACTACTCTGCTATTAAACTTCAAACTTCATGAAGAAGTCCATCTTTACCCATATTTTAGGTTTCATAACAAAATGAGGCATCAAAGATGCACTATTCCTAACTCTACCATGAAGTACAAGTGCCCAAAGTGACATTTTATACTCTCGAGTACCAAATGAACAAAACTAACTAACTAATGAATCACAATTTAAAGATCAATGTAACTGAAAATCAAGACTTTAAAGCAAGCTTAACTAATACATTAAAAGGACAATGTCAAAGAAGATAATGCAGTCCAGCCCTTATTGAGCCCATCAGGTGTAGAAAGTCTCAAGAATACCATTGGATACTGTGTGCATGTACTCTAAGGATTCCTGGGCATTAACACTGCCTGCCCCTCTTCAGTGGTTATCAAGCCTAACAGCCTCCTCAACTGCCTGGAACTATTTTGAGCTTCTCTATCCAGGCCCAGGTTAACAAGAAAGTTCCCTTCCCTGCCTGCCCACACACCCCACACTGGATAGCCAAAGTTCAGAAGTGTTAGGAAAACTGTCCCCACCTTTAATAGGTAACAACATCGGGAGCAACTATTTTCCTTTGGAGAATTAAACCTTAGTCTCTTGCATGATACTAATCACTTAATTATCGAAAACGAGGAGTAGCAGATGGAGTTTAATTTAGATAAATGTGAGGTGCTGTATTTTGGAAAGGCAAATCAGGTCAGGACTTTTACGCTTAATGATAAGGTCCTAGGGAGTGTTGCTGAACAAAGAGACTGTGGAGTGCAGTTTCGTAGTTCCTTGGAAGTGGAGTGGCAGGTAGCTAGGATAGTGAAGAAGGTGTTTGGTATGCTTGACTTTAGTTGTCAGTGCATTAAGTATAAGAGTTGGGAGGTCATGTTACAACTGTACCTGACATTGGTTCAGCCACTTTTGGAATATTGTGTGCAATTCTGGTCTCCCCCTACAGGACGGATGTTGTGAAACTAAAGAGGGTTCAGTAAAGATTTTTGGGGATGTTGCCAAGGTTGGAGGGTCTGAGCTACAGAGAGTGGCTGAATAGGCTGGGGATATTTTCCCTGGAGTGTCGGAGGCTAAGGGGTGACCTTATAGAGGTTTATCAAAACATGAGAGGCATGGATAGGGTAAATAGGCAAGGTCTTTTCCCCAGGGTGGGGGAGTCCAAAACTAGGAGGCATTGGTTTAAGGTGAGAGGGGAAAGATATAAAAAGCAACTAAGGGGAAACTTTTTCACGCAGAAGGTGGGGCATGTATGGAATGAGCTGCCAGAGGAAGTGGTGGAGGCTGGTGCGATTACGACGTTTAAAAGGCATCTGGATCCATTTATGAATAGGAAGGATTTAGAAGGGTATGGGCAAAATGCTGGCAAATGGGACTAAATTTATTTAGAATATCTGGTTGGCATGGACGAGTTGGATTGAAGGGTCTGTTTCCATGCTGTACGGCTCTATTATTCTATGACTAAAAATCTACTGAAGAGCCTGTCTATAGGTACATAAATTATTATCCAATGAATGCACCCCCATGTATCTGCTCACCTCCACATCAGCCCCCAGCTATATCGTTAATGTTAACATATGCAAGTAACATATGCAAGTTATACATACAAATAGGCTTTTTTTTATATTCATTCAGAAGGTGTGGGCAGCACTGGGCTAGACCAGCATTTATTGCCCATCCCTAATTGCCCAGAGGGCAGTTGAGAGTCATTGCTGTGGATCTGGACCCACATGTAGGCCGAACCAGGTAAGGATCGCAGTTTCCTTCTCTAAAGGACATTAATGAACCAGATGGGTTTTTACAACAATCATGGATTCTTGGTCATTATCAAACTCTTAATTCCAAACTAATTGAATTCCACCATCTGCTGTGGTAAGATTCAAACACAGGTCCCCTGAACATTACCTGGGTCTCTGGATTAACAGTCCAGTGGTAATACAACTAGGCCATCGCCTCCCCTTAAACAAACCATTCCAGATTTTCTGAGATTGTCCTGGAATTTAGCTTCCCATTCTGTGCCCAGGCATGGGCTTCAGTAGCAACTAAAGCATGTATAGACACAGAGACAACAAGGTGCAGGGCTGGATGAACACAGCAGGCCAAGCAGCATCATAGGAGCAGAGAGGCTTGTATACACACAAATGGTCTGACACAGATTGGTAAATTCATCTGAGAATTGTCTGGTTTCCAAAGATGGATAATTGTGGCAGGGTGTGTTTTGGGGCAGTGACAGACTTGACTCAGATCTGGGGAGGTGGTCCAAAGTCAGGGCCAACAGCTGCAGCAGCAAATTCAGATCTGAGGCTAGGGAACTAAGTCCATGATATAGGAGTGTCTGGGTAGGCTAGAAGTGGTGTTTGGGCAATTGTAAGGTAGAAGTCAAGATCCTGGCAAAGCGGGTCTGGGAAAAGGAGCTTCTGAGAAAATGCAGGGTTTGGGAAGGGGATTGTGGGTGAGCACGGGAAAAGGGGGTTGGAGAAAGAGAATTCTGTGAATGTCTGACTGGAAAGGAAGTTGAACAGACATGTATGTGCATGTGCTTGTACATTGGCTAGCAGCCAGGAGAGTCTGAGAGCAGCTTAGAGCTTCAAGGGAGAAGTGCACTTTGTATCAATGGGGTAAAGGAGCCAGAACATAAGAAAAGAATTTTACTTGTCAAATGTTGTGATGGACACTCTTTATCTGAACAACACATCTGGACTGCCTCAACTGTTGGGTGTCCATGATTTTGTAGGCACCCCCACAATGCTGTTAAGAAAGGAGTTCCAGGGTTTTGACCAAGCAATAGTGAAGGAAGAGCAATATTGTTCCAAGTCAGGCTGGTGTATGCTTCAGTGTGCTCTACTGCCCTTTTTCTTCCTGGTAGATGTCACAGGTTTGTAAGTTGTTGTTGAAGGAGTCTCTGTAGTGAGTGACAGCAGTGTGACTTGTAGATGGTACAAACTGCAGGCACTGTGCACCATGGTGAAGGGAGTGAATGTTGAAGATGAATTTGAATTAGAATTAGCTTTTATTGTCACATGTACTCACATGATTACAGTGAAAAGTTTACAAGTCACTACTTACACCTGCCACCTTGGGTACAAATGTATCTAGGTACAGATTCTTAAGTTCAAATTCTTTGGAATAAGTTAGGAAAATAAAAAACTAAGAACTTCAGAATAGCAGCCATTCCAACGCAGTTCATGCCGGCACCTAGCCTCCCAGTCTGTGCCAGACTTCACCTCGAGGCTATCGAGGTCAGAAGTGTCGAGAGTCCACGCTGGATTCACCTCGAGGCCAGGAGTCCACACTGAGGCCAGGAGACTGTGCTGGCTTCACCTCAAGGCTGGGAGTCTACACCAAGGCCAGGAGTCCGCGCTTAGGCTGGAAGTCTGCAACAAATTCATTTGAGGCTCAAGGACAGGCGGTAAGAAGAAAGAAGGGAAACAAAATCAAAAAGAGAAAAAAAAGAAAAGAAATAGATGGAGCGGATGAGCTCTGGCTGAGGAGTCCTACTCTGCTGCCATCTTGGTAGCTGATGATGTGACAATTAAGCAGGTTGCTTTGTCCTGGATGGTGCTGAATTTATTGAATGTCAGTGGAGCTGCACCTTTCTGGGCAAGTGGAGAATATTCCATCACAACTTGTGCCTTGCAGATCATGGACTGGCTTTGAGGTGTCAGAAGATGAGTCACCTACTGCAGAATTCACACCTCTGACCTGCTGTTGTAGTCACAGTATTTACATTGGTCCAGTTCAATTTCTGGTCAATGGGTAACCCCAGGA